ATTCAAACATTGGTAAGAATGTGCTAGCAAATATATATTATATTGTATATTATACAGCAATTTAAATATTTTGTTTTCCATGCAGAAAATAACACTACGCACCTACAATAATGCAATGGGTTAGAAAGATACTCGTACGTTCAATCGAAAATCGTAGTGAATAATAAATATAAACTTATACTTTAGAAGACATAAAATAATATATATTATATTATGTCTTCTAAAGTATATATAAACGGACCTGCACTATTTAATTATTATATAAAAGTCAAGCGTATAGTATATACATACTAAATTCATTTAATATAATGCGTGCGATATATTCAATCATTTATAATAAAGCTATGAAAATGATGATGTGTATCGTGAAAACCCGACTTCCGATTTGATAGTGGCTATTATAGTAGTAAAATGTATACCTACAATATAAACTATTATAATATAATATATTATAAATTATAACGAATGAGTGGCCCATAATATTGGTTTTCTCGCCCCGCAGGGATTTTTATACATTTGGTGTGTATAAGTATATACTATATACTATGTCGGTATATAGGCACCTATATGCATACCACGAGTTTTTAATGAAACGCATATAAACTAGTAGTAAAACCTATTCTATTTTTTATATTTTATAATACAATATTAAATAGTAATACGAAATAATTATAAGTCGTTGCATGCGATGTTATAGCTCCGATCCAAAATATGTACAATATCATGGGAGACGCACACATATACATCCTATAGGTAGATATAATATATACCCACTGCAGTATGTTAAATAATATACAACTTTTAAGACGTTAATATATTATATATTATATTATAGAAAATATACAACAGCGTGTGCTGCCGGCGGCAAATTAAATTAAAATGCAAATCCAAAAAACGTCTCCCTGAGTTTACTTGGTATAGGTACATATATATATTTGAGGATCTATTAAAATAATTATACATTTATGCGCACAGCACATTGTATTATATAAATATGTTTATGTACATGGTATGTCGTATTTACTATATACCTATCTCTAAATTATAAATATTTTGATCGAAATGTGAAAAATTATTAGTATAGCTGCAGCTCGATTTTCTATGTGACAACAATAATTAGAATGAGTTTTCACCATGCAATATAAAATATTTTATTGTTTCAATGGTTTTTATGTCTTTTAATGACAATAATATCCACGAGTAGAGCAATAAGTGCCTATAATACTACAATGTCTAAGATGTGTGCACCTATAATCTATAATGATTATAAGAATAATATAAAAGATTCTTTAGGAATACGATACACTCGCAGTGAATCGGTAATCGCGATAGTTATTGTTTGTGTTTAGTAAAGGTTGTGGCTATTTGTTTTTTCGGAGTCTATAAACTCTTCGTCATCATTTGTCCGATTTAACAGTTGGAAAAAGTAGTAAATTTAGGTACATTTAATGTGTAAAGCCGAGGTTAATGACTTTAGATAGCGATACATGTAAAATATAATATCCCTTATAGCCAATTTCATAATATATTTACTTTGATTAAGTAGCTGCAATGTTGTAGGTTGAAGTAATAACGATCGAGTATATAAGCACTGATAAGTTGTAATAAGATAATTTGACGTTTTTGACTAATGTTTATCAAATGAGGATGAGCCATAAAGCTGATAATTGACGAAAAATTAAATGTTTTTAATTAATAGTTCAGAATCAATGATGATTTTCCTGTAATGTCTAAAATTTATCTAAACGAATCCCAAAAATTCGAATCTTTGAAGCATGTTACTCGCCGTATAATTCTGCTATCACGTTTTTAATAAAAAAAGAAACGAAAAATGTGCAAAAAACGATGTGGCTGCAACTAGCCATAATATGTTTTTCCTAGAGGCCAAAACTTACACATTTCTCCAAAGCTAATATTATATGATAAATAAGTCCTTATAATATATTATATGAATAACTGCAGCCGGTTGACCGTTGACTACTGCACTGTCGATGAGTTTAGGAAGAAGTACCTACAAACCGACATATCTGTCGAAGTAGAATATTGATATTATTTTATTATTATTATAAACGAGAACGCCCATTATTCAGTTATTGTTTGATAAATCTTATGACAATCATTAAACAGAATCGGTTTTCAAACGCATAGATATATACGCACTGCACTTAAAATAAGTTGTATTTTAATACTATGTACAGATTATATAATAATAATATACGCTATTAGTATTATTTAATTTTATTGTTGGACTTGTTATTCTCTTCACGACGCAGCTATATCGATTATTCCTGGAACTGTATATACTATATATTATGTGTATATATTTTATACTCACTGATAACTTCTGTACATTATTGTTTCGGCGTACATAAATGTATTGAGCACTTTTACTCTCGTAATAAATATACTACGAACAACGATTAAAAACGTATAGTATCGTGATTTATTGGAAAAGTTTAAACCAAATATTGAAATAATAATAATTACACACGATTACATTATAATTTATTAGGTAGGTATATTACTCTGGTTATTATATTATTATGTTAGGTTCAATCAATAATGATGAGATTAAAACAGGATTCTTTGGATAATATGGAATTCAAATTTAAATACAGGAGAACCGGACGACTAGCTCTTAGATACCGCAGGATAGACATAAGCACCTATTGTTGAGTCATGAATTATGATAATATAAGTGAATAATATTGTTTTTGACCGGCGATGATAGAAATTATAAATTATTGTCGCACGCCAAACGATTTTGAGTTAGCAGTTTGCAGGAATTACATAACAAATTATATTTTTTAAATCTATATTTATTTATATTTAACAGAACATTATTTGCTGTTCGTTTTTTCTTACAAGGAAACGCTTACGAAAATAAAACGAAAAATAATTTTTTTTGACTTGTTGAATAGACTCAATTTCCAATTGGTAATAGATATACAATTATATCTATGTGTTTAGGTGCTTAGTATTACCTAGGTAGTTGAAACTTATATCTAAGCCACTTTCTGTCTGAAAACATTTTTGTCAGAAAAGTAAAACAATTAAAAACAATGAGCACCCATACGAGTATTATTACTACTCTGCAAAATCAATCATAAATATAGCTTTGGATTTCGAACAAACTTTTAATAATATTATAATATAATAATAATATAATAATATATAATTTCTAATAATATAATATTATACGAACGTTTGCGAGAAGTAAATATGAGCATACCTATAATAATTGTTTTCGAACATAAAAATGTATAAATGTATAGAACAAAACTATAATGTATACAAATTTGTATTAATGTACGCTCGTTTAATTATTAATTATTTTGACTCATAGACGGAGGTAAATGTTACGTGCTTAAGAGTGCTTATGTACACGACAGTTCAACAACGGCGTTTCAAAAACTAAGATAAATCGTATATAGGTACCTACATTTCATATTTTTTATTATTGAGTCGACGTACCGTACATGAGAACCTTCCCATAGTAATATATGACGTTATGGACAAAACAGAATTTATTTTATGTTTAGAAACAATATATTTCATATCCAACAAAACAATCATTGCCGACTGATGTAGTGATGTACGAGCAGTTTATAACTACTGCATATATTTATGGATACCTCTTGCAGAGTATGGTCTTGTAGATATAGGTACCTACCTATAATATATGGTCTATACACCCAATACTATATTTCGTCGGTCTTTGCAGCGGGGAGAACGTCACAAAAAGCCATAAAATCTAACGACCAAATTTATTTATATATAGTACATGTATAGAGATCGACTCTCAGATATCAGACGATAATGCAAATACCCCCGAGTGTTACATTTTTATCGAACTGCGTTGAGCAAAGTTTTTTTTTTTTAGTACCAAAGTTTGTGTCGTAAAATTCGATATCATAATAATATAGTGTTATACGTGGCAAACCTCCGTGGCCCGTGGCTGCCACTGCAGCGGTTGACAACAATTATGCCTCATACATCGGTGGTTACCCCGTCGAAGATTCGTACTGCAAATCATAATAATTAGAGCTCGAATTTTGTTACAATATTGCATCATGCTTTCCTCGGTCCATTTGATTTCTTGCGATGGGCACCTCAGCGCTGTAGATCGCTATAAATTAATTTCAAAACTGCAGTCTAAAATGAAATACACGAATATGAGTATAAAACGAATGCGCTTTCAATGTTGTTTTTATGTTATCATTATTTTCAATACATTATTTTTGCATATAAATATTTTACTGTTTTATTTTTATAGTTATGTGGTTATAAACTTTGTAAGTTAAAATAAAAAACTTGACATTTCAATCTCACGACCGTATGCGTAATCACGACCCACTGCTGTATATAGGTACATGCATTCGGATGCTCGTATTTTTTTTACAACACTAAGTGTCTAAATTGATTGTAGACGACGTGCAGAGTATAGACACAGCAGTTCACAATATTATAGTATTAATAATATTTCGATAGAATTGAATTAAATTGTCGAAGAGTTTCGTCAAAACGACCCGACAGCGTTCCTGTGGTTACCAGGACGGCGGACCGTCGCGCGCGCGTCCGGTAGATGTCAGCGCGGGTACGCAAACGGATCGGTGGCGGACGAATACGGCGACGAAACGCGGCAGCGGCGCGCCCGGGCGCCACTGGGCACCGCGCGCGCCGGCCATGACGAATTGAACGGCTATTGGCCCGGCTCCCACCACCCCGCCCCGCGCGACGAAGGCTCTCGCCGATTCCGTTTTAATGGGTCTTTCCGCGGCGCTCTTCCCCCACCCCTCCGCCGCGGCACTGCCACACCGTCGTCGGCGCGCCGCGCTCTCTTGCCGCCGCACTGCAACCCGTTTCTCTCGAATGGCGCAACAAAAAGCAAACGGGCGACGAAAACGGGAGATCCCCGCGAGGCGGCGGCGGCGGCGTGTGCGCGGCGGAGGCCTTCGCGGTGGTGGGGGGCTTTTTCGAGCGCTCGCGGCCCGAGTCACATGGCACGTTCGTGTGTGCGCGCCAGTGACGATCTGATTGTCCCGTCGTTAAGTCGTCATAACCACTTAAAGCGCATACACGGACGAAAATAATAATAATAACAATAATAATAATAGTAGTAGTATAATATCGTTAAAACCGAAATTCGAGGATCGTCGAGTCCGTCGTCCCTCCCCCGCGCCGAAATACCGACTTACCAAACTTTCGTGCATTAATATACTTTTCGGAAATTTCGTAAATTAATTTTTTTTTCGTTTTTCTCAAGTGTTTACTGACCACGGTTCGGTTTTTTTCCGTTTTTATTATCAATTCGCGGGACGTATAAATATAATATATATATATATATATATAAAGGTACATAGTATATAATATATATATATTTATATTATCGTCGGTCGTCGTTAAAATTTTATACTCCGCTCGTAAAAACCGCGGGCCCGCGCTCGAGTTTTACGACCCGTCCGGATATACGACGACGACGACGACGTCGGCGAGATGACCCTTTTTACGACAAATTAAACGGTTCGTAAAGCCGACAAAAAGTGTTTTCGTATAATATAAAGTGTGTGTGTATATGTGTGTGTGTGTGCGCGCGTGCCAGCGTGAGACCCGACCCGAGCTATGAGATCTTGACGAAATATAATCGTATTTATATGTTCGTAAATGTATCGTTGACTGCGCTATAATAAGAAGAAAAAATTTTCTGACGTGAAAGAAAAAAATCGCGTCTTTCCTCCACGTGCAGCAGCCACCGAGTGTGAGCAAACAAAAAATCAACGAAAATTTACGTCGCGTAAGACATACAATCATAGTCGCCGAACTGCAGTAATACTGCCGCAGCCGTAAGATGAATTCGTACTTCGAGCAGAGCGGTTTCTACGGTGGACATCACCACCACCAGTCGTCTTCGGCGCACCACCACGACCAGAACGCCGTGGCGGCCGCGTACCGGTTCCCCATCGGTTTGGGCATGTCGCCCTACGCTTCGTCACAGCATCATCACCATCACGGGCTATCGCAGTCCAGGGCCCCGCAGGACAGCCCGTACGACGCGTCCGTGGCCGCGGCCGCGTGCAAGCTGTACGGCTCCAGCGGCGGTGGCGGCGGTGGTGTCGGCGGTGGCGGAGGCGGTGGTGGAGGTGGCGGCTCGGGAGGCGGTGGCGGCAGCGATCAGTCGTCCGCGGCCGCCGTGGCCGCGGCCGGACTCAACTACACGAAGACCGAGCCATGCGTCGGCAAATCGGACGCCGCGGCCGCGGCCCACCAGAACGGTTACGCGTCGTCGCCCAAGGACGTGGTGTGGCCCGGCAACGCGGCTTCCGCGGCCGCCAACGGGTCGCTGCTCCGGCCCAACGTGTGCACGCCCGAATCCCGCGTCGGCTACGGATCCGGCAACAGCGTGTCCGGACTGGACGGCGCCGGCGCCAGCCCGAACTCGGCCCGCAACTCGGCCGGCTCGCTGTCCGCTTCGTGGAACACATGCACCGGTATCAACAACAACGGTCACCAGCAACAGGCCCTGCAGCTCAACCAGCAACAGAACAACCATACGTTCTACCCGTGGATGGCCATTGCAGGTCAGTCTCTAGGTACAGACACGAAAAAGAGTATTTTTTAATTAAATATTATCTTTCACACGCTTATATTTTCTTCCCGCTTTTCCGTGTATAACAATGGTGTGTCATAAGTACTGTGTACATAATATTAAGATTATATTATTGTATGACACGTCATTATTATATCTCAAAAATCGCCAATTGCTTGCCAGAGAACAAAATGTTATTATAGGTAGATATATATTTATTTTTCTTGGCTTTCTGTTTTTTATTTTTTTATCCATACAATTAAATTTAAAAAAAAAACCGCATCATTGTAGCTATATAATGAAAGTTATGCTAAACATTTTATTCTTGTACTAAACTAGTATAATAGGGGAATAAAAAAAACTGTTATATTTAAATAGGTAATTATATTTACTCCGGGGTACAATTATTAGACTACCTATATTATGTCTGCACTCTAACACCGCTCTAAAGATGTCCGGCGGCGATTTAATTTGTTTTTATTCACTTTAATATTTTCCTGAGATTGTGGCGAAATCGTATAGCTTCAGATAAACTGGAGTTAATATCCTAACTACATTAATATAATATTTAAATTACACATTCCAGCGCGATATTCGCAGTTAAATTCGGAACACAAATTTCATAACTTATAATATTAGTTATTGGGCATATAATATATATTATAAGTAAATAAGTACTCTGTTCCAGGACATATCATATATCATTTATTGAGTACAGTATTGAACATTTGTTGGAATAATTTTTTTAAATATTTATAAAAATCAACAATAAAAATTCTGATTTACTAGTGTATAATATGACATCAAAATATTAAGACTAAATAAATTTAAAAAAAATTATTCTTATACATTTTTAGTACAGATATTTTACCTCTCAACGATCAATTAATCATAAATTTATATAAAACATAATTATTCCAAAAATAGCCCACAATATTATTAAATAATGTATAGATTAGGCTTACCTATATAATTTATTTATTATAGTCTATAATATACATATTTATTAAATACTTATATAATATATTATAAACATCCATTACATACTTACACCGATAAAACATTATAATTTATACAGTTTATATTTTTTGTGTGTTTTTAATCTTTATATGCGATTATGATGATGTTTATTATAAATTCAATAAACTATACAAGTTTATAAATTGATAATTTACACTACGGTAGATATATATCATATTCGGCGAGTTACAACATATTGATTGATGATTATAATATAGTATATATAACCCGGCTTTCGGTGTATGTATATATTATATTCATGCATAAACAACTGATTGCTCGATTTCCTTTCAGCGGCAAATCGGAAAATAATTAATTTAACCACACGATAGTACCTATGATGATGTATTAAATTATTGCCCGTGCAACATACATATTTTAATATACGTGTTTTAAATACACAACGGTTTTCTAATCTTACATATACACTAATTATGTAAAAAATACATTTTAATTAGACATAATATGGATGGATGTATATAAATTATTCTACTCAATATACAAATGTAAATTAATATAATATATTAATGTTGATGTGAGCGGTACAACAAAGCGTTTAGTGTAAATTAAACATTAGGTACACATAAGTAGGTAGGTAGGCAGGTTTATGTATTAAATAATATTATTTTGATTCAGTCAACGCTCTTGCACATCCAATATATCGTATTTCATGTAATTATTATAACGTTTAGTCCAGTTGATGTTGTCGAGTATGTTCATACAGTTTATATATCCAACATGAAGGAGTGTTTGGCCTGAAAAAAAAATGCAATCGCTAATTAGACGTTAAAAAAAATTACACGCGTGAACCACATTAAATGAGTGTACATATAGTAGGTATGATGTACATACATAACATATTATATTATTAGCAACACAGTTAATGCGATTGCTGATTACCCGCGCGATTGTAATCTGAGCTGCAGCTAGTACTTAGGTATATTCAACCAAGTCGTAAGCGCGTGGGTTGCTGCTGCGGGTGCGTTCTCTATATGATATTGTACTCATACACGCATATAGGTATATAACATAGCCGATGTTTAAAAAGTAAAATATACATATGGAGGTACACGCGGATAATACATATTACACACGTTTCGAGAGAGCGCACGCAGGATGGAAAAGATCTTCGGGTAAAACGTTTGTGGTCGTCGTCGTGTGCATCCGCGAGATGACCCTGCAACAATGTCGTATAGTTTTATATATATCGAGTATAAAACACGCATATATTATTTATTAATAAAAAAAAAAATTCCAGAGATGTACACCTATTTATAGGTACCTATTATGTATACGCGTTGTTATTATTACGCGTTATACTATAATAATATTGTGTGTAATACTTTTCTCCTATTTATTTATACTGAACGCGTATATTATGTGTTACAACAATATAACAGTGCGCTGAGTGTATGGTCGTAATATAAATGTTACAAATGCTGCGTGCACAGTTATTTAAAAGGTCATTGATTTAAGTGTGTGTTTGCGTGTGTGTGTGTGTGTGTGTGTGTGTGTGTGTGTGTGTATGTATAAATCGTCGGGTGGCGTAGGCACACGCCACCGAGCTGCGATGGGGGGAATTCGTTCACGGTGTAATCAATGTGCGATTTAGCCCCCATATATATACAAGAACGCCGTAATAAATAATATAACATCGTGTAATATCGTATACACATCATGTTTAATACACATTTTTATTATAATCGTACAGGTACATAGAGCAGGTAATAGTCACGAGTCGCGAGAAAAAGATTTCATCCGCTCGATCGCGGTGTCATAATGTCTACATTAATCTACCTATAAATGGTATACCATTTTCCATATGTATTTTAATATTTTTTTCATAAATATAATGTATTGGGGATCCGATTTTGTAATTATACTTCAGAAGACTTCATTCCGTTTGTTGCGGTAATCCATATTAATTAATACAGACATCCATATAAATTCTAATAATATTTATATAATTTCTTTTTCTTCGATATTATTGTTATTATGTTTTTTTTTTCATTTAGAGATTCGGTATATAAAGCGTTCTGACGCAGTAAGTGGTGTAAGGTTGTCGATTTATTTTATATAGAAAAACAATTAATTAAACGTATATATATATATATGTATAATACTGTAGGATTTAACGACATACCTAATTATTTTATCCCATAAATTTGTCAGTGTTTGTATGAACGGTATAAGATAATATATGCAATAAAACACATCAATGTATTATATCTATTAATATCCGTGTGTCATGGTATGTTTGATGTTATGTAATGATAACGAAATTTAGACAGTTTTTTTTTGAGAGTTGATTATAATATAACAATATAATAATGATGCGTTACACATCATGTTCATGGAGGTATATAGGAAAAACACATCACTTTAAAAATAATATGATATCGTCCCTATTTCATCTAAGTACTTCTAATCACCGTATAGGCGTATACGATGCGACTAATACAAATAATTACATGCACGCGCTAGTAATTGAAATTGACGAAACAATTTTATACTATACATATTTTGTTATCTAAATTTCCACACTGATAATTCTACCACACGGCTGTTTAGTTGTACATCAAACAAACGAATACTATAATAACATATATATATTATTATAAATACAAGTATATGGCAACATTATAAGCCCATATAACATAATATATTATTATAATGAACACGAAGAAACGAATAGTTATATCGTCACTTGATAACACTTCAAGCGACCTTATATATCACTGAAGCTTTATCCGTATCATAGTTTATTTTTTTAAATTTCTTTTTTCGAAGAGTTATTATGTTTTCATCACATGAGAAAACGAACAGTGGCGTTCGACATTGTATGTAAGCCATATCACTAAATATAACGAATAATAATTTACGATGTGCGAGTGCGATGGGATTGTTGAATGCACATTACCTCTCTCCCGTTACATAATATAGTGATAGGATTTCCCACTAGAAGTATAGAGTTCTGTATGTGTGCTCGGGTCACGGGTTATAAGAATTTTTCCTAACAGAGTCTTAGAAACACATCCTAAACAATATTAGTGTGTTCCGCTTGAAAGCATGAGCACTGGGCAGTGCACGTCAAACGTTTAACGTGTGTGCCGAGTATGTAATGTTTGTAACAATAATAATAATAATAATAATAATAGTACATTCTACTATAATGGAACTTGTGCAGCGTCCGCAATTAGACAAAAACAGCTGTTGAAAACGTGTATATACATACCTAGTTGGGATAAATTATATTTATGCCAAAATATATGAATAATAGTGGTATAAGTATAGGTATTTATAACAATAATAAATTATAACAAAAAAAAAAAACAATTAGTATAAAGACAATTGTATAGAAAAAATGCACTGACTCGATTTAAGTTTTTAAAAAGTGCAATAGACTAACCTTGAAATTGAAAAAACTCATTTAAAAATAAAAATGTTTAATTAAAGTCATTAATGAAACAACAACCGCAATTAATGTCTACTGAATAAATCCAACAAAATACACCTATAGTTACGAGTTCTATAACCCGACTAAAATCAAAATAAATAAATACCATTCAAACATATGCCAACATTTAAAGTGCCTATTTCACAGTGATAAATTCGAAAGTTCGTTAGGTGTAAACGTTTTTTTGTTCCACGTGCCTCGTGTTATAAATTTCGGCAAAATTCTCTTGTGAAAGCGCTCTTTAAATTTCTTGCAAAAAAACAATGGCGAACGTCAAAGGCACCCCGAGAGTCCGATATCGTCGGTACAACTGTTTGATTGCAATAACCTAAGAGTATAATAGTTCTAAACACCGCGACTATAAAAAATACGAGTTCAGCTACTGCAGCAGCAGCAGTAAAAAAACGCATATAATATTGCGTCTTCATAATCACGACTACGGGGCACGTGGACTACCGCGGTCTCGTATACATATATTATATTTGTAAACGATGAGATCGCAGTGCTAGATATTATTATATACATTAGTTATTTTAAATGTCTATTCCGAGACGATGCACTTGTAACGTTATATAGTACAACAACGCGCCATAATAATGCGGACGGGTCACAGACATAGTAGGTTTATGAGAGTGTATAATATGGTCCCGCGGTAACCAATACGCCTATATAATATCTAATTTGTATTATAATATCGTAATAATGACCGAGTTCGAGGTGTTTACGATTCAATTCGTTCGTCTGCCGCAGTATTATAGGTATACATTAAAACGATATGAAAAGTACCTATACCTATACAGGTAATAACTAACGCGTACATTATGTACATTATTATATTATATAGATACGCGTAGGTATTATTATTATTATTATTATATACGATGTATTGATTACGATGGCGGTTCATAACAAATTACCGGGCAATTCAGTCTTGAGTGTGTGTGTGTGTTAATTTACAGCGGTTAACGCCATTATAATAAAATATTATATCGCGGTATTATACGTGTATATACATATGGTACGAATATTGCAGTTTATATTATACATATATGTATATATGTATATCCACGACGCGTTTTGATTAGTGACGAATTCGCGCAACACGGTGATTACTGTCATTATATATTATATTATGTACACCGCGGCTGCTTTATGTAAATAGTCGACATCGTGTATAATATAATAGTGCAGCGATTTAGTGTGTGTGTGTGTGTGTGTGTGTGTGTGTGTGTGTCTGCTCGAGTAGTAAGTACAAATACGCGTTTGGGGAACGATTATGATTTACCAACAAATTAAAACTCGCGCCTTTTCCCCGCGGTCCTGTTTACCTATATATATAGCTAATATAATATATTATTTTATCGTTCGGTTCAAAACGCTTGTAACGCAGCTATAGTCGTGTCAACGGAGTTACATAATGATTATCATCGTATTTTGTGTACGTGCATGTTTTGTAGGTATGATATACAGGATGATCTTCTCTTCGACACAGACCTTCAATTATTTCGGAATGTTTTTACATTATTTTCTGTTTTTTATTCCATTATAGATTCTCGAACCTCGGGTGTGTGTTGAAAACATTGCTATCCTCTCCCTGCTCGTATATGTTATAACATAACAGGCATAATTACATGCACCAATATGTGGCTTTTAATTCAAGTTAGATGTAACGGTACGTCTTCTGAATACTATTATTCTATTTTAATTCTGCATAATAGTTGTTTCTGACAATATCTTTACATAGGTAATAGTCGTAGGTAACTGATTTAAGTCGAAAAACAAATTTAATAATAATATATAATAGCTAGGTAATATAATATATAGGTATAACACGGCAGAGTGGTTGTTAGAGTTTATAGGAATTGTTTACCACGTCACTATCTAAGTGGTGTTGCTTTAAAAAATAAAAATAAATGTTCTGGGCTACTGCCAAACTGTGAAATGCCGAAACAACACAAGCCTTTCAATCAATACGTCTCGTTTTTCTCTAGAGCTGTATTACTTGTGAAGTTGTACATTATCTATCTACAATCACTTTATAAATAAACTCAACCTAAATATTAAGACGATCAATATAATACTATACCTTAATTTTATATCAGAAGTTCCGCACTATGCTTAAGTCTCGAGCACGAACCACCACAACAGGTATACAATATTATCATCTAAATCACATACAGAAATCTGCAAGAAATACGACCAAAATAAAAACAAGATCATTTGCATAAAGATATTATTGCATGATGATATCCCTCCGATGGACTACATGATAACATAGTAAAATAGTATAGACGAAAAGTGCATGGGAGTTTGTAACATAACATTACACAAATCCAAACTTAAGTCCAAAATATCAGTGAGCATAATAGATATTGGTAGATAGGTATATTATATCGTCATTGGTAATAACAATAGATTGTTGCTAATTGCTTCAAATTAAACTTTAAAATATTATTAAGTGAATATAAATTTAGATAATAACTTATTATATAAGCATCGACAAAAATGACATTCAATATAGTCGATAACGAGTTGGAAATAATTAAATAATTGCTGTCCATTATGTTATAAAAATTACATACAATCGTATAAGCATGTCCACAATGGCTAAATAATAAATACATTATAACATACTGACGCGTAAATGTGATTTTAAATACTTAAAAATAATAAATGTATTTATAATGCTTTAATGATACTTTTAAAGCACAAGTGGGTAGGTAGGTACATGCATATTATATAATATATACTCGAATATCATCCCCCGAGATTCAGACGACTGTGAAACTGCCATAACATATTATAATGCATAAGCACTGAATGTATATACCTAGCTGACGGTGTACACACTGTCTGAATAAAGTGAAATGGTTTTTTTTTTTTCATAGTAATAATAATAATATTTAACAACGGGTTTACTTTTATTATTTTAAAACAAGCTCGTTTATACACCTCTTAAAAAAAAGCGTATTCGTCTACAACATTTATATTACCACCACCGTACAGACTGTTTTTTATTATCCCAATAACAATAATAGAAACGTTTTCGTCCCGTCCGCTTGAATTGACGATATTTTTACGCGAGCGACATGTAAATTTAAAACTTATAGGGAAGTTAACGTATGTTATTATATTATTAGATTCGACAAAAATCAAATTTCCAGTTCCGACGTAAATACATACCTAATAAATAATAATATAAAACAATAATCGACTCGTATAAATTATTTAATTGGTAAAAAGCTTTTTTTTCTTTGTCGTCATAAACAACAATCTACCATTCTAAATACTGTAATATTAAAACGATTTATTCGATTCAATATAGGTACCTACCTACTTACCTGCCTACTTGCACCTAATATAATATTATAACGCACATTAAATACGACATGGATGCTTGTTATAATGCAATACCGAAACGTGTAATTATTGCGTATTCGTATACAAATCGTGTTCGTATAATATAATAGTATATGTACCCATACGACTACTGCGAACGGATGTATATAGATTATTAGCGAGATTTTATATTTGAAAATAACACAGTGCGGATGTGAGAACTTTGTCCAATAGGTATTTACGTTACAAATTACAACCGTTTATGTTATACATATACTATTAATTATTATATTATACGAGTGCTATATGTGCAAAGTTTATATTACATTCGGACGTTGGTACGTGAAAAGCAACATTATTCACTTAGGCACCTACGTGAAATACTTTCCGCGATTATTCATTAACGCCATTACTAATTGCGCATGTTATCATATTTTATTAATATACCGCGATATAACGAAAACAAGCACGCTCACCGGGCCAACTAGAATATAGGTAAAATATATTGTAGGTAGTCGCATATATTGTGCATTTACATGTTTGTTGTGGGTTACGTTTAAATACAAACAATACTGCAGACATAGGTGTGTACGTATTGTTATAATAAATTAAAAAATTGGGCTGACCATGTATTCGTTTTACCACCATCCATGGCCGAGCCACGAGTTCCGAAATTGTATCGAAAAACGTCTTGAACGACAAAGATACCAAAAACATATTGAGGTACTATAGTGACTTCGCATTTATTCTGTAGATGGAAATACTTTTCTGAGTTCTTAACCTTCCGCGGTACCTATATTATAATTTGTACGTCTAGACTGTAGATACCTATATATTACAATACAATAACGAATTAATTATTAAAAAATTTAAAATCGCTAAAACAATAAATTTATATGAAATATTTTAAGTAACTACTTATTACGGTTGTGTGCACCGAGCAGGCTATATAATTATACGTTTTAAAATATCTCGTGCATAATATAAAATATATTATATTATGTAAGTATATTGTATATACCTATATTAGTCCAGGGGTATTATAAATTATAGTTATACGACGCGAAGAGATTGAGTCTAGACCGATATACAAAAATAAGCAGACGCAAACAATATATATAATATACAAGTATAATATATTATAATACGCGCAGCGTACACGCATTAATGACCGTTTGACACGAATATTTATAGGTCCAACGATATCTCAAAACATCTAAAACGACGGACTGTTAAAATACGCCACGGCCTATGTGTATTATCGTACATACCAATAGAAATATTAATTATAACCTTCACCGTATAGCCGTGTCGTCCACGCGTCCCCAAAACCCTTGGTTTATTATCAGACGGAGACGACATTTAAATTTTCTAAGATCACACATTACATATAATATACAAAATCCTCCTTTCATTCTGTTTCGAAACTTTAAGTTGATTTTCTCGTTATGTAAGCTTAAAAATCGAATAAAAACGGAAACGACAGAATTCGGTTCTATTTGAATAACTGAATGTACACGCGCAGTGGTTCTGGTTTAAATCGCGAGGCACGACGGACTTAAATGTCGGGCGGTATTAGGAAATTATTTTCTGCGGACGATAAATAATAATATTATAGAAGAAAACCGTTTTGCACTTGCAGAACGGTGTATGGAAAGACGGTACACGACCGGAAGCGATTTCGCGAGTTCTTCCGGCCGGTCTGCGATCTTCAGTTGACGCGCGTAATGACGTTGTACAACAGAAAACACAAAGTACAATTTATAGTAATATGATAATGTAATGACGATCATCCATTGTGGGCGCGATCAGCTGTGCAGCGTGTGCACGTATGCCAAGGTCAACGGCTGACCCAATTGCCGGGCCATTACCCAGAGGGTCGTAACGCGTTTTCAACCACCCCCTTACCACAATCGCGCGTTACGATATATGTATGTGTGTTATGCGTGATACGTATTAAACGGAATAGTATATCGGTAATGGCCGACGACCGTGGAGAGGGGGGGAGAGAATTAAACCGAAAAACTCGAAACCATCACAGTTTTTGTCCGACAGATGACGCGTTCGCCTGTGTCGAGGTGCAGCGATCAGGTAAACTACTACTGACATTGTATTATTAATATTTACGGATGTTGCGGTCGTCTCTAAACACAATATTATTATAATAAACATATATAGGTGCAATAACGATACTATCGTCCAGATTCCGTCGCCGACGATAAATTTAAACACTAATCAGATTTTCAGGAAAAAATAAATAAAACCCGTCCCAGCAATAAAATACTAATATATACAGACAGGAGAGACGAGCGCGCGCGCGCATAAAAACGGAATCCGACGACCGGTGGACTTTTATTAGCTGTTAACGGGGCCCCCGTGTCGGCTGACGACGATAATCGTTGTTCGACAAGCGCCTACTTATATTTTTCTCTCTTTTTTTATTTTTTTTTAAGTTTGTATCATCATCATTATTCGACATTTTTATTATTTTTATTACACTGGTCCGTCCTCCGCGTCACGGAACGGCGACCACCGCGCATTTATATGTATATGTATACATCGTATATTATATACCTACACGTATATACGTAAGCACTAAATACGCCGCGTAATTCGGTAGTCGTAATAGTTGTTGTTGTAGTAGTAATAGACAATAGTGTAATAGTTAAACCGTGATAATATTATTATATAGATACCATATAGATAATGAATATATTTATATGCGTACGTAAAACGATATGTAAATTTGCGCATAAGACTCATGTGTGTGTGAAATATATACTTGGCGTTGCCTGCATATAGGTACCCGAGATGTAATAATGTTATAATAATAGTTTAGACGAGCGGCGGCGACGCGCGACCATCGCGGTACAGGTGCACTTATAGCAGCTGCACGTAAAATATACGTCGTGATAGGTAGCCGGTGAAATATGGCGGCCGCGAGATTAATTTAAAACGAACTATTATTGTATTATATCACATTATCATACTGTTATTTGTATTATTATATAGTTATTATTAAGCCGACGACAGACGTCCGTTAAAAATACTCACAACCTTCCTCAACCAACAAAACCTTGAATGCATTTCATTTTAGACAATAACACACTCGGCCAACTAGTCGACAATGAATGATTCCGTCTGTAAGACACATAATGAACTGTATAGTACTCGTTTATGTATCTAAATCAGCGTTTAGATACCTAACTATTTTAAAAGGTTGTCACTGATATCTGATACACATGATATAATATTATAATATGATATGATTTTCAGGCCATGCGGTGCACACTGCACATAGGTAACCAAAATAGAAAAATGATAATATACTAAACGATATTATAACCTTTAGGCTTTAGGTAGGCGATTAGGCACTGAATAATTTTAAAGGAACAAAATTTAAATCTTGGTTCGAATTGAATATGAAAATAAATCATATGTCACATGCGCCGCAGAGTAATTTTGGATATGTTCATGAAAAACTAATTGATTCACACATCTAACCTAACCTGAAATATAAAGTACTTAGGCTAATCAATCATGTGTTGGTTTATCAAACAATTATTTCTATACAATTGTAGAGCTGTGTGTGTACTTTAATTTTCTCTCATTTTTTTTTTCATTCAATTTCTGTGCGTCGAAAAGAATACTGCAGGCCTCTTAATTAAAAATTTAAGGTTAACAAACTAACACAGTTTTATTTCTTATTTCTTATCAATATAGACAGCTCATCAGTCTTACAGTGGTCCTCATTACGGCACGTCGTCGCAGAGGAAAATAATGAATATATCGCGTGATTAAACGAGATCGTCAAAATGGCTTCTCATAACATATATAAATTTGCATAAAATATTTTTTTGAAAATTATACACACATCACGCATGTACGCATGTTGTCCATTTATTATTTTTAATAGATTTTTTTTTTAACTATTAAAAAACATTATGGAGCTAAATTATACATATACCTACGTTTAAATGGGTATAATGTTCACAGCTACGTTTGAATTTAGTTTTAATAATTCCATTGTTTTATGCAAATATGTCGAGTGAGTAACAATTCATACGGGAAAAAAATGAATTTAACAAAGTAGTCAGTCATCAAAAGCTATATATTATAAACGACCTGAAACATAATTATAAAGGAAATAATTAAATTGAATTTGATGAATTATACTCATATACATAAACTGTTAATTTACCTCTGCAGCTCTGCACCAGTTAGATAAACGACGAAGCACGATGATAATAATATTATAACACTGCGATATTGTTATTGGTCATTTATTACGTAGGTATTCGCGGTGTTCAACAGGATTTTCGAACGCGTTCACTCGACAAATCTGAAACCACACAACATACGATAATATTATGTATGTACTAATGCATTTCAAATAATTTATATGAAACCCGAGTTCTGTGTCAGCTGCAAAGGTGTATATAATTTAATTTAAATAATAATTTCGGACGGGCGTCAGCGCGCACTCTGTCAAAAATGTACCTATACAATATAATCATTTTTTAACAAGCTGCGTCGTGTAAGCCGTTTGTCATTATCGTTGAATCGTGTTCAAATAATAGTACAGGTTGAATCATCGCAGCTATTCATGAAACAAAACGCTTTTCGGACGTACCTATAATTTACGGTCCGTAATATACCTGCGGTAAAAAACACATGGGTAGGTACACGACGATGGCCGCGGGACCATGTAAAATAGATATTTTCGATTTACAATATATTACGTTATGATATATGATATGTTTTATAGGCGAACGTCCCGTCGCGCGTCTATATTATAATATATATAATAGGTATACGAAATAACAAAGCGGCCTCTCGGTTTGCGGCCATAGGCATCTGTAGCGCACACATGCGCACACGCTCGACCTCTCTCACTCTCCGGCTCACACACACCAACGACCAACACAAGCTCGCGAATAGTTGCGATTTCGTTAAAAATTTTAATTTACTTTTGCCGAGAAGGCACACGCGCGTTACGGGCGCATTATCGAAGCGTCGCCGTCAGCGGTCAGTTGTACAGGGTCACTCGTCGTGTATATAATTTATATATTGTTATGTACTTATAAGTACCTATTACATATGTATATGTCGTTTACTCATTTGTATTGAGAAAACGCGATTGACAATATTACAAATGTATATACCGACTCGGCCTTAGACACCAATGGATAAAACATATAACGTAACCGCTCTCGTACCTATATGATACATTATCTTATAATATTCACTCGCTGCACCTAAAAATGTCTCGTTTCGAATCCCCAACAGGTCGTGTTGTACACGTAGTCCACATACGCGAGCGCCCGCTCGTTCACATACACAATTGTGGGATTTATTGATCACCCTTTCCCGAAATATAAACCACAAACACACGTACACACACTCACACGTTTATAAATACCCTACATATGCGCTTTCGCAAGTTTTCCAATGCGTATCGCCGCAATCCTCTTTTGGAGTCCGGCCATAAATCCGTTTCCATAACCACGACGGCGGCGGCGGCGGCGGCGGCCGCGACGCCGGTGCACGCTCGCTAATAGGGTAAAAAAAGAGGATAAAAAAATTCCCACAACGTCCGTCAAGTATAAATCGTGTGACGGGGTACCGGGCGTAGAAAACGAGAGAAAAAAAATAATAAGAAATAATGATAAATAAATACTTTGTTTTTATACGATTGTTGCTCTGTATATTATGTGTGTATTAATATACTATTATATTATCATTATTATTATTATTATTATTATTATTATTACGTGTTATGGTGGTAGCGGCCGTAGCGGTGTAAACCAGTCGAACGGCGGGAATGTTACTCGGAGCGGAAAAAAATGGAAAATAATATTTATATGTAAAAAAAAAAAAAGTATACCCATCTAATAATAAATAAATAACTATACAACAACTGCAGTAATTAAACTCGCGACTCGACTATAACGATTTATTACACGTTTTCTTTCTTTTTTCTCATTTTTAATGTTATTGCTTTCGGTTAATTGCTTATTATTATTATAATGTACATGTACAAGTACACCGATATTATTAAACGGCGTTTTAAACGTTCGCAAATGGCGTGCAAATAATGAAACGTCGTTGTAATAAACCATCGCGCGTTCTCCATGGAGTAGGTATTATATTCTAATACATAAGTTTACAAACGGCGTTGTGCCGACTTCTCTGACGCTGCAGCAGTTGCCGCTGACAAAGTATGTGCACTATTAACTGCAGCTGCTGCAGGTATATATATAAGTACCCCGCAAGTGCACGAGAAATGCACACGAATCGTTGCGTGCACCGATCCCGCGGTATCTTTTCGTTCACCATTTTTGTTGTAATATTATGTATTTTGTTTTTATATCGTTTCGACCGAGCTGTTCATTTGATCGCTGACCAGCTATATAAATACAATGTTATCACTACTCGACGACTATAATTGCAAGCACGCTGTACACGCTGGTCAGCACATGGGTACCGGCTAATATTATTAAAAAATATCATATTTATATACCGCTTGTGACATAACACGATATCGTTATACACGAGTGTGCCAGGGAGACACGTGCAATGGCGGTGACACGTTTCGTTTTAAGTTTGATGAGTCGGCAAAACACAAAAACAAAAAACCGTTTCTAACGAAAAAAAAACCAAAGCGCCGTTTAAAATACGTTGTGCGTGTATATATGTGTGCAATACAGGTATATACGTGATAGGACATGGCCAGTAATGCAGTATATAATGTTATAATATACATATATGATATAGGTACCCACCTACGTCGTTAAAACGTCGTAATATATACGCGCGCGCGCCATTAAAATCGATAAATACGCGACGAGTGTAATAATAATAATAATATATACATAATAATTAATTTGTATAAATATGTGTTTTTTGTTCGCTGATTTCGATGTGGCGCTCTTAATTGTTTATCGAATCAACACGAAATTAATATGACTACTATACATATACCATGCTATTAGGTATTATATACACTAGTATAATAACGACGATTGATAATTAATAATAATAATAACATGCATTATAAATTGATAGGTAATTAAAATTAAAAAACAATTTTTCTCTTTATTATATCTGTATATATGTTTAGAACATAAATATTATCATAACGACCTCAACCGTTCGCATCATAAATTTGTGAAAAATCCTATCCAACAGCCTGGACATAGATAAACATGAATTGCCATAATAAGTTTTGAATTTTTGGCTTAGGATTTTTTTTTTTTAATCTATACAATTTAGGGTCGGCTATTATACTATAATGTTTATAAAATATTAATTAACGGTGTACTGCTATGTAATAAGTCTATTATTATTTTTTATTAATCAGAAATGAGCTTACTTATTACAGCGGCTAACATTAAGCTGCTCCGTAACGAAATGTGTGGCTACTGAAACCGAGTGGGTAGGTAGGTACTGCAAGTGCAATTATACTGAGTAGGTATGGAATAATGACCGCTATATGCACTTGGGCTACAGCATGCACTGAAAACTTGTAGCAATCCATCAAATTCACTAATAATTGAATCGAACGTGCACACTGTAAAGTATTATGCTCTGAAACAAAAACGTATATTACGAACGCGATTAGAGTTGTATAATAATATAATATGTACATATTACAGATGAATATTTTAACATTATTATTACGTGTATTACACACACGATTGAGACAATCCGTGTTTTTCTTATAATAAATTATATCTGAGCATATTATGTATAGTACGTATCCACCTATGTACACTCGCTCATGATGGGAACATGGAAATCAACTAAATGAGATTACTATTAAATGATGTATTGCAGTACGCGGCCAACAAAATGTATAATACTTAATGATATAAATAATATAGTTACCTAGGTATAATGCAGCTATCGGGCTATGTGTATATCAAAATAGATTATTATATATACGTTATTGAAAAGCATAATATCTGCGTATAACATTATGGTAAATTGGGTGTTCGGGTCAAGAGACGAATTTTTTGTTATAACAATATTTTAAAGCTTCAAAAAATCAGATTTATAATACTACGCATATGCATTCCAAGTTACTCGCAATAATAATATGATGTCGTCGTAGGTATGTTCTTTAATCGCTCGAAGCAAAAGACAACGGTTTTAAATAATTAAATTACTTAACGGAAAAAAAACAATGTTATTGAATTAAAAGACCTAAGGTTAACATACTCTATATAGGGCGTTGATATAACAAATATAGGTTATATTTTTTTGTTATTCAGTCGCGAGTTGGCGAGATGATGGCGGCGTTATCAATATCAGACTTTCAGCAATCATGTATATGTATTATGATATAACAAATCATACACCTAGTGTTTTAAATTATTGATAAATTCTTTTTTACGTTGGCCACCACGTGTTTTATAATAATATTATATCTCCGCATAATATTCGTAGGTACCTAATTATTATTATTTCAACTGTAATCGATCAACAGTATCGAGCCGAATAGAATACCGTAGCTCTGGTATATAGGTATGATATATAGGCTTTCAAAATGTTTACCGCATACCGCATATATCCCACGCCTTTATCGTCGTCACAACATTATAATATACGCACACCGTTTATTATAATCTAACATAATATATGTTTTTCCTATAGTATAACACTTCGTACGGGTATACCTTGTCGACCAGTTTTCGTCGCTTTCGATATATTTATTAGAAACAACGAAAAAAACCCAACTCCAAGGCGCCGGCGACGACGCTGCCGGTGAAATCGTTCAATTATTTTCCAATAAACACGACGGATAATATTATATATATACGCCGTACAACATATATACTTAGGTACCTAATAACAACGCAATAATCGCAGAGCGGTAGAATTTATAATATTATTATTGTATATATACGTGGTGTAGCTAATATAATACACCGCGAGCGTATTATCGATTTAAAACGAGAAATTTATACGGTTTAAGCGCCGCAAAAGGGTTTACAATGTACGCGAACGGACTCGGCTAGCAATAGATTTCCGGCCGAATTCACGAGCGCGCGCGCTGCACAGTTATCGTTAAAATATGCGTACAAAGCGTATATTAATTATAATTATTATGTATACGTATAATATAATTATTACGGCCAAACGGCAGCAATGGATTATGTGCGATTATATTTAAATTTGTCGCTTTCCCGGCGTTTCAGGCCGAGTCGCGAATAACGAATTTCAATAATAATAATAATATATTATTATTTTATATTATATCGTCGAACGCGTGTGTGTGCAGCCGAGCGTTTTTCGAGCAGCGCTAAGAGCCGCGAGGAAACCCTCGTAACACAATATACAGAGCGATCGTGATGACGTAATCGGCGTGAATCAGGCATTATTATATCTCTGCAAGACTATAAGCGACTGGGTACTATATTATTTTTGAACATTTGAGAGCTGCAAGTGCTGTTTTTAATTTTTTTGCGATGACCAGTATAAGTAGGTAGTATATTTTGTCGTTATAAAATCGTAAAAAAAAAACCGTTTCGAGAGTTCCACGTGTGTTGCCATCGCCTAATCGGCTAGTTGACGACAAAACAGTCGTCCTGTATGTATCATTTTCCTGTGAAATGTGTGCAGTAAAACTTTCGTAATCCGGTCATGTATCAAGTAGCGGACACCCGCTTCCGCGGCGGCGGACAGACGGCGGGCGCGCGCGCTACCATGTATACCCCGTCGCGGTACGCGTCGTATTCAAATAGGTAGGTGGACGTGACTTGCCGTTGGCCGAGGACCTTTTTCCGACCATGTGTGCGGGCCACGGGTGTGTGTGTGTGTGTGTGTGCCTGTGTGCGTGTGCTTGCGTGAGTTCCAACCGAAGGACCGGAAGGAAGGAAGGAAGGAAGGAAGTGACCCCAATTATACGCGCGATGTGCGTATGTGTGTGCGATGTGTGTACGCCACAAACACGTTTACATTATAATATAATATATATATATCGGTAAAATTATGCCATAAAATAGGTAATAAATTGTACGCACAATATATTACTATAAACGCGGTCGAAAATACGTCTCGAAATGTCCCGAGAACGGGTGCAGGACGTCCTGGTTCGATGTAGTACAGAGTGTTGGGTTCGTGTGGGTGATGTCGAGGATGAAAATATTATCAACGGCCGCGGTGCGAGCTGCCGAAAAGTTTCCGACCGTTAAGTAATAATAATTGTATCCTTGTTGTCTTAACGCGAACCCCGTTCGGGTCGAGGACCGCTCGCTCGTCGGGAGAAAAACGGGATTTACTCGATCGTATATATTATAATGTACCGTGCACACCGCGGCTTGTATGTATATGTATATATATATATAAGATAATAATATATTACTATAAGTGACAAATTATATTCGGGCTGACCGGTATACACACTCGGTGGCGGTGGTGGTGTGTGCGCAAGTCTCCGGTGCGGGGCGACCGACCACTTGGTGTTGAGCAAACAGCCTTATCGTCAGCGCGCGGTGGATTTCCGAGGAAAACGGATATTATATGCGCATAATAAATATAATAATATTATAATACGAGTAGGTACATAATATATTATTATCATAGCGCCAGAGAGTGGACAACGGCCGCGCGGACGGAGCGATAACCACCGGTGCCACTGCCACTTCCTCTTCCTATGCCCTAAATCTTGCAACAACATACGACTCGTGTACGTATATTATATAGCATTATGGGTACGATATATTAGAGTGTTAGGCTATTAAGTATGCAGTGTGACCCGTTCTCCAGAAATTCGTGTTCCTGTTGTTCGTCGAGGTGGTCGTTATATACGTATAGTTGCAGGACTACAATATTATGCGATGTGGTCTACAATACGCGTTTTTATCGCTGCGGAACTGAGTAGGTATATTAATGGTGTTAATCACTTGGATTGTACGGTCAATAAATTAATGATGGTTGTATATTTTTTTTCTATAAAAATTAGTATACGAGATTCGTCTGAATAATATTTTTTGTTGAGATTTTTACGACCAACGCATTATGCACCGTTAAAATTACGTTATAAAAAATAATATATTAAATGCCACAGAATATGTTTTTTAAGTATTCACTAACAACTAGCTCGTGTACGATCATCAAACGTTTGCCAATTCATATGTAGGTACTGTGTAATTGTTTAAAGTCGAATCACGTTTTACAGACCAAACCATAAACATGTACAATATTTCATTCGACTGTGATATAGACATAAATCCACCTATAGTCATCACATTTAAAAACCATTTACAAACAAATGTAATACATAATAATGATATTCTATTATCTTCGGATCACTTGTAATTATGGTCATTAATTAGTACAGAAATAACAATTATACTAATTAAGATCCGATTTGCCTTGACACAATAGACACATACACATATACAGCGTTCCATAAATGTGACATACTGACATGTAATACAATTTATACGAGTATATTAGGTATCTGTTTATATAGAGGATGAAAATGCAAATATACAATAGGTTTTTCATTCATTAAAATGGCTACTAAATCCGTCGAACACTTGTCACATAAATATGTACATAGTGAAAATGTAGGTTTATTTAATAATGCGATGTAGAATAATAATTATTGTAATATTATAACAATGTATATTTATATGCAATCTACTATACACATTATGTATCATAATGAGCACGGATCGTCTGGGTTTAATGAGCAAAAATGTGCAGGCGCCACCGATAAATATTTTTTCAGTTTCTCATTATCTCGTTTAACAATATTACAAAATATGTGAATTTAGTTTGATATAACATTATACGACGTAATGCACGCGTTTCGCATGAATTTTATTATAAATTAATTTATTCGCACATTACGTTGTTAATTAGTGATTGTCAGTGGATTAGATATAATTTTCTCGTTCGCCTTGATCGAGTCCTAACCGCGGAATCACTTTGAGCACTCGTTAAATCACGATCATCGGTGGCGATATTTGGAAATAATATATAATATGTATAAGTACATGTATGAGCAGGAATTTGAAACCGGTGGTTTGCCGGCTTGGCGATGGCTACACGGTAACCAATCGTCATGCGTTACTAAAAATAATATGTTGGACTGATGATTTCTTAATGGACATTTTTTACAAATTACCCGGGAGTGATAAACCAAAATATTCTTCTCGTAGACAGCGATAAAACTGAAAACCGAAACTCACAGTCCACCGCGCTGAATTCGCAGCCACAATATTATTAGCCCGAAACACAATGTAGCCTGTAGCGAACGATGAAGAATAATTATAATATAGAGAACTATTAAAAAAACGATAATAATTGTTGTAGAATGAAATGCGTGTCATATTATTATATTGTGTCGGAGTTACCAATGCATACACACGCGTAATATTATTATGTATATTTTACGAGAATTTATATTATTACACGCGAATGACCTATGTGCGCGCGGGAGGCAGTGGCGGTGTGGGCGGGGGCGGCGGCGGCTGGGCTTTTCGGGGTTCGCCGCACGGTGCGGGAGGGAGGGACGGTGTGCGTGTGTCACCCCTTAAGGGGCAAAATGGCAGGGCCCGGCGGCGAGCGGCTGCCGGACGGATATTTAGCATGCCCAGGAGACCCGTTTAAATCAATATAAGAAACCCTCTTATAACGTGTATACAAACATGTACACACACACACGCACACACACACACACACACACACACACATTCATATATATTTACGTATACATGTATAAATCTCGTGGCTCGAAATATATATTATTATACGTATATAATGATAATAATAATATATATAACGCGTTCGCTATTACGGCCTGGCGAGGTTAAACCGCGTCGTGTTTGATTTACGTTAATGAGGCAGGAGCAATAATAACAACAGTAGGTATACCTATCTACAGTGGCTGTGGTGAGTGGTAGTAACTGATTCGGCGGCTGCGGAAATGATTTTTTTTAAGCGTCCGCCAAGATTCAGGTACCTAATTACATGCTATATGTAGGTACGGTGTTATTAGCCATAGCTATAGCTTCCTAGCTCAAACCCATACATAGCTAACTACCTACCCGAAGTCAAAATCGAGTGAACTGTTTACGGCGAACTTAGTGAAACAAACTGCACTTACCGGCGGCGGCTGCGGCGGCGGCGGCGGCGGCGTTGAACGACGGTGATGATTCCAGCGCGGACGTGTTCGACGAAATGCGACGATTTTCGACTGGGGGCTTGTGGGTACCATGCACACACACACACACACACACACACACACACACACACACACACACACGCATTATACACGTGTGGGTACGTGCACTGTCATCGGAATTATTGTGCACAGTAAAAATATACACGGACGCACGCACGCACGCCGGGCAATAAATAACGTAAAGTGAAAGTTTCCAAAGGTGAAACTCGTTTTCGGCATCCCCTTTGTTTGTCTTTTGGACACCCTCAGGTATATAATATTATAATACTGTATCGTCCTCGCACAATAGGTCTCACCCGGGGACACCGCCATCATTGCCACTGCACGCGGTGCCAGCAGCGGCATATATGGCACATACGCTGTGCCTACATTGCGAACTCGGGCTGCACACGTATGCACATAATGTGTGTGTGTGTGTGTGTGTGTGTGTGTGTGTGTGTGTGCGTGTGTAGGTATTATAGGTAGGTGTCTGTACCCCTAACCTCGGGACCCGTTGACAATGCCTGCGTTTCGATTCTGTACGCTCCACGGCCGCCGCCGCCCGGGAGACTCGCCCGACTATCCAAACAGTAGTGCACGTTAGACCTTGAGTAGCGTGAAATCGGTTTTATAACACGCACACAAAAAAAATCACTTTTAAAAATATCCGGTAGCAAATATTTCGACACATTTTTGTTCTCGTTTTTTTTTTTTGCACACTTCGTAATTTTTTAACGCGCTCGCTCCGCTGCAGGACGTCTTATTATGTTACGTTCTGTGGTCATTTGCAATCAAAATAACGTGTAAGAAGTTTTTTTGTGTTCACCCGCGACTGATACAATACACGATTTATACTTAACAACCTTTTTTTTTAAACCAATCCGCTCTCGACTAGATCGTAAACGGTTCCGGCGCGTGATATTATATAAACTTACACGGGGCTGGCTGTTTAACCGCACCCGTTATGCGTTTGTACCCTTTTATTATTTTAGTTACGAGTGTTTACAACACAAAGAATGAGTAGTTGTTCGAATGCTCATGGAATTATATTATTTATTGGTTTATAATATAACAAACGAGTTCACCTATATAATATTATTATTGTATAATATAAAGCGTACGTTTATAATGTGTATCGCCGACGGTAATTATTTCCTACGGCATTTTCAAAATATTTTCGGATAAAAATACTTTTATATATATATATACACTAAACACTTCGATACATATCATTAATTATATAACAGTTACCTATTACAAATTATACGTTTAATGAGACGGTTTGTACTATATCGGCACCGTCGGCCGCCTATAATATAATATATGAAACACCAAAGAATTCATCGGGTCGCGATAATAATTAACGAGTACTAAATTAATACTCGTTTATATATTTAATGCGCACTCGCCCCGCGCAGTCCACAATACATTTTATGTATAGTTATACAATGTACATGGGATGTGGAGATCGGTAGATCCCGGCGGCAAGGTGAACGCGTAATGTATAATCGAATTTCATAATAATATTGTACACTTCTATTATAGTGCACACGTACTGCATCTATATACGCGCCGAACCTATTTTTCTACCACCGATGTGTGAGATTTTTTTTAAAAAATACAAAATAATAATTAGGAGCAGAGATTCGAGAATACCCTACAAATGGCAGAGTAACATTGTCGTATAATAATATTATACGGGTTGAAAAACATGTCACGAATTTTCGGAGGTCTTTAAATGGTTAGGATTTACATAATACTGTGTACGAGTCGGTACCTCACTCATTATTGTATTTATTTACTAGTCATTTACCGCCGCGCTGTGTCTAACGTTTAAAAGGATATATTTCGTCAGATCATAGCTAATTATTTTGATCGTATCAATTTGTTTTTACTTTTCTGCTTTTCTGTTCGTCCCTCGACTGTTCCTAAAAATATTAATACACCATAACAATATAATATGTAGCCGTGTTATCCGCGAGAGTCGAGTGGTAAATGGTTTTTGTATTACAAACTCGTTTTTGTTCTATTCGGCCGCGGTGGGGGTGGTAGAATTACTTTGGGCAATACATCACCGGTAACATCTCAATTAGAAAGAAAGAGAACCGTTCGTTTTTTCTTCTCTCGCCGCCACAGTAACCGGCAACTCTATACCATGGTTGTGTGCGTCTGTGTTAGTGTGTGTGTGTGTATGGAGCGCGCGGTTAAAAGTCTCCGCACCCGTATGTGTACATATATATAGGGTTTGATGCATGGCCTCGCGGCCCGCCCTCCGGTCGACCATTTGTGCGTGTGTGCGTGTGCGTGTGCAGAAACTAATTTCTCTCCGGACAACATAATATATATATATATATATATGATGTAGGACGGAGAAAAAGTTTAAAGCTCGCCAGCCGGGGTGAAGAAAAAATGCAAGTATTATTGCCGCAAAAACAAAGATCGCATAATATATATAGGTATATATGCGGGAGAAAAATTAAAATTGTTTCTTATCGTAAAACAACACACACATAATATTCGGGCTACGTATATATAATAACACGTACGTATATATATATATATATATGACACCCGCGTAAGTCGTCCGGAGTCGCGTGTGGTAGATACTTAAATGTATGGCCGAGCTAGGAATGCTTTTCGCGGGCGACGTGAAAAGTCGAGGTGCTTGTGATTTATTCGCTCAGTTTCGTGTCCCGGTTCGCGCTGTATACGGACTGAAACTTTGAGAGAGAGAGAGAGAGAGAGAGGGGTAAATATATGAAGAGAAAGGGAGAGAAGGAGGGGAATGAGCGGACACAGACCCCTTTGGTATTGTGCCCAGATTACGCCAAATTGTTCGGCACACACTCGCGGACACGGCAATATAACATCTCGCACGATGTATGGACCTACACGGTGGGGCAAGTGTATACAGAGTGCTCGCGACAATCGGACCACGACGCTTCGGTTCCTGTACACCGTGAAAACGCATGCTGTATACACGTAAACCTATACAAGTGAGCAGCTATATAGTATGTATATTACCGACGAGTTAATGTCGGGTGCCTGTACAACGTCCGGTTTTCTCTCGCTCTGTATACGAAAACATATTTATTATGTAGACCTATAATACCACCTACGTTGTACGGCGGTCACTGTGTATCATCGTCATTATTATTATTATTATTATTATTATTATTATTACTACAATACTGTTATATATATATATATATATATTATAGTTACGTTTGTTTCGATATAATTATTACACGCGCACCGACGCACGCGGTATCTCTCCCCCATCATCATTGCGCCCGGCCATTTGATCTCGAGCAATTTTTGTGTGGAACGTGAGGTAATTATACCCATAAAGCATTTTCGCACATTTCCACAAGGAGGGGGGGGGGTAGTGTGCACCGTACAATAATGGACGAAACGCGGTTCGGTAAGGTTATAATATACACTTATGTCACTGTGTCGTGGTATATATGTATTTCAAGTATCTATGCATGCAGTATGCACACACCGACCATGCATGACGACGAGGACACCGAATTTTATGTGACAACCGGTTTTTGTTTTAATTACTCGTACATCGTTTTACCAAAACACTTAAGTAGGCACGATATCAAAATAATTAATAGCAGCGTCGTTAATTAAAATTAAATCTCATTTTTACCACGTCGTTAGTTACATATTATGCACACTGTTTTACCCCTGCGAATGCGTAATTATTCGTTGATGATACATATTAAATTGATCAAACACCAGAGTTTTGAATTCCAAAACGCAACGCGACATCGTCACGTGCCGCCGCGTGCGTTTAAAAAGAACGATGGCAATTTAGTCGACTTGGTATATTATTATTTATTTATATACATTTCATGTACATACGTCATATATACAGCAGTGGGTATATACTCACGGCGCGGAATACTTGTTGGAATTAACACCGTCGTGAAACGTGGTGCAGTAGCTACCTATATTATATACATTGCCCGTATTATATGTTTATAAAATGATAAATATATATATATATATATATATATATAGGCGACTATATAAGTATATGTGCGGCGGCGGGTTCGTCTCGGAAAGTTATTGCCGAAAAAACGTTGAATAAACGCGGCGAAGTGGTGATAAGACAAACCACGATGCCCGGTAATGGATTCGTGTGTATACATAATGAGCAAAGTATTCACAAAAGGAGGCGATAGGCATTGAAAATATGAGTGCATATAACTCCGAAAAAATAAATATGTATGTATATAAAATCCGTACACACGCGCACGGATATACAATACGTGTACGCCGCCCCGGCGAAGGGGGTTCGGGCTCTTGCAATTTTTTCCTACACATACCCTCCCTCGGCCGTCGCGCGGGAGCCCGCGATTTATTGCCGGCCAGATAAAAACCGTGCGGTAAATCATCGCGGGTACACAAAAGGAGCTTTTACTTTATTTATTTATTTTTTTTTTTTAAACGATTTAATTTTTTCTCCACCTCTCCTTCTAATTTTATTTCGCGTTTTTTTCGCGCTCGCACGATAAGAAGACCTTTTTTTTTTTACAAACGGGCCCTTTAATAAGTCGACGACGAGCTGCTGCAGTGTATGCGCCCGCGCTCTATATACATAATCGTCGGGACAAGGAGGAAAAAAACTCCAAGGTGGTTGTAAGATCGGTGATCTTAATTGCCTGTACTTCGCCCCGGCCGACGGTCGTCGCCGCCCGGACGTTGCCATAGCGGTGGCGTACAGGAGAGTTCCTGCAGCAGTGGTATTACATCATATATATACGTTTCTGCGTATTGTAGGTATTTATGTGTGCGTATATGCGTATATACTGCACGGGGGAGGTTATTTTTCAAATGATAAACGTCACTGCTCCCGCGCCGCCGCCGAGCACCTTATATAGTCGCTAATGGAGTTCACTGTTAAAATAATTATTACAACCACCTCCTCCCCACCCCCCTTAAACGCCGCCACCGCCACTCCGCAGTCCGCCGACGGTGAGGCCGGGCGGGGCGCGGCCCAGGCTTTTTCCGACGCGACCCGCGCCCGTTCGTCCCCGCGTATAACTGTACATGGTAAAACGACATTAATCTTGCGCCGTGTCGCTTTCCGGCATTCCGGATCGTAATTCATTTTCGCCTCGGGGTATATATGTATATAATATTGTATAGCAGTGCACCGTGCTAAAAGAAAACTGGCTGTATGAAATTTGCGCTCAGTATTGCGGAGAAACACAGAGTTACACGTTTATAATAAGCGAGAAACCTCGGAGCAGCGGCGGCGGCTGCAATACAAATATACTCGTACACTAACCCGACGAGTTTTGTCTCCGAATTTCGGTCAAATATAAACCCCCGGAAGAGTGCCAAAAATGGCACTTTAATACTGGTGTACCAGAACGTCGT